AGAAGTGGAGTGTGGCACAAGTGGTAAAGTGCCAGCCTTAAGTAGAAAAGCCAAGAGAGACAGTGAGACCCTGAGTTTAAGCCCCAAAACTGGTACAAAAAGAAAAACAAAACCATATAAAATAATATGAAGCAAAATGCATCCACTTTTATCCATCTCCACTGCTGACACCTAATGCAGAATATCATCTTGCCATGTTTCTTACCTACTACCCACACTGCTTTCATTCATACCTTTTCTAATCTCTTCTCCCCAGAACAACTCATTTTGACCTCAATTACTTTCATCGCTCACCTCATCAGGGCATTTAGGATGTGAAATTCAAACTTCTAATACAATCCATAAATCACTTGACCCTTATTTACCTGTCCGCCCTTGTCCTGTGCTACACTGTCCCTTTGTCACTTTAGTCCAGCCACATTGGCGCTTTCTTCCTATTCCTCACACACTTCGAGTCTTTGCAGGAAGTTTCCTCCAATCCCCTTATTTCCTTCCTAACTCTTCCCAAGACTGGCTTTCTCACTTCATTCAGGTTTTATGCATACATAGAACATTGTCAGAGGCTTTCTCTATTTTTGGAGGGCCAGTCCGTGAGCTTGAACTCAGGGCCTGAGCGCTGCCCTTTAACTTTATTTTGCTCAAGGCTAGCACTCTACCATTTGAGCCATCTCAGCTCCACTTCTGATTTTTTGTAAGTTTATTGGAGATGAGTCTCATGGACTTTTCTGGCCAGGCTGGTTTTGAACCATGATCCTTAGGTCTCAGCCTCCTGAGTAGCTAGGGTTACAGGCATGAGCCCTCAGCACCTAGCAATTTCCCCCTATTTTAATACCTTCACAACCTTTATCATAACTTGCAAATATTTTGTGGTTTTATTATCCACTTTTTGATAGGGGAAGAAGTTATGTGTTTCCCAATAGACTACTTAACTACATGAAGACAAGGGCTAAATTATTTGCTGCAATAGATACTATACCACTGCATTTGGTAAAGAACAATATCAATAGTCGGTATAATCTGATAATGTCGAAGTAATGCAAAATCAGTTTCTATTTCTACAGATAAAAGATAAAAATCAATCTCACTGAACGTTCTGACACCATGTTGGTGGGACTTATCTCCGGAATGCCTTCTCCAAGGTTTCTCTCACCACCCTTCACCTATGATTGCTCTTCCATGCCACACAAACCCTACTCATAGGTGCATGAGAGGCTAAGTTCATATTAGAGGGGCTGGAGGAGACCCTGGTTTCTTCTTTTGACAAATATTTATCTGGGCCCTCACATAACAAATCTTTCAGAACTAATGCTGGGCGTCAGTGATTCACGCCTCTAATCCTAGCTCCGCAGGAGGCTGAGATCTGAGGATTGTGGTTCAAAGCCAGCCTGGGCAGGAAAGTCCAGGAGACTTAAGAGTCCAATAAACCATGCAAAAAACTGAAAGTGGCGCTGTGGTTCAAGAGGTAGAGAGCTTGCCTTGAGCTGAGAGCTGAGGGACAGTACCCAGGTCCAGAGTTCAAGGCCCACAACTGACCAAAAAGAAAAAAAATCTTGGGCTGGGAAGGTGTCTCAGTGGTAGAGCGCTTGCCTTGCATGCCTGAGGCCCTGGGTTCAATTCCTCAGCACCACATAAGCAAAAAGAAAAAAAAGCCAGAAGTGGCGCTGTGGCTCAAGTGGTAGAACGCTAGCCTTGAGCTGAAGAGCTGAGGGACAGCGCCCAGGCCCAGAGTTCAGGGCCCACGACTGGACCCCACCCCCCCAAAAAGAAAAAATCTTTCAGAACTATTGCAATCCCTATAGTAAGGCTTCACTTCAAAGTGAGGTGAGTACAAAATATATAATTAAGAAAACATTACAGACTTAAACCACTGGTACCAGGCTCCTTTTGATTCTCTATTAAACACACAGCACAAAGCTTGGAGCACACAAAATCCAATGGCCCACAGTCACATACTTTTTGATTTATTCTGTTTTTCTATGCTAGGATTAAAACCCAGGGTTACTGCACGCTGGGCAAGTTTTGTAGGCAAGGATTTACCCTGAGCTATAACTCTAGGCTACATGTTTCAATGACTTACTATAGTGAAATATTATTCTAAGACTTTACATGAATTAAGTGATATAATGCTTACAGGATCCCTATGAGATAGGTAATATCTTAATGTTCATTGTATGAGTCACCTAAGGTATGGAGCTTTTAAGAAATGTGGCCAGGGGTTGGGAAGGTGGTTCAGTGGTAGAGTGCTTGCCTTGCATGCATGAGGCCCTGGGTTCGATTCCTCAGCTACACATAAGCAGAAAAAGACGGAAGTGGCGCTGTGGTTCAAGTGGTAGAGCGCTAGCCTTGAGCTGAAGAGCTGAGGGACAGCGCCCAGGCCCAGAGTTCAGGCCCCATAACCAACGAAAGAAGAAAGAAAGAAAGAAAGAAAGAAACAATGAAAGAAAAGAAAGAAAGAAAAAAAGAAAGGTGACCAAATTTGGTGCCAGTGCTCACGCCTGTAATCCTAGCTACTCAGGAAGTTGAGATCTAAGAATCATGATTCAAAGCTAGCTCAGGTAGGAAAATCCTTGAGACTCTAATCTCCAATTCACTACCAAAAAGCCAGAAGTGGAGCTCTGGCTCAGGTTGTATAATGCTAGCCTTAAGCAAAAACAAAACAAAACCCAAAAAACAAAACTCAGTGACAGCACCCAGGCCCTGAGCTCAAGCCCCAGGACCATGAAGACAGACAGAAGGGAAGGAAGGAAGGAAGGAAGGAAGGAAGGAAGGAAGGAAGGAAGGAAGGAGAAAAAGTAAAAGAGAAATGTGAATAATGTGAGTGTGACCAAGTTACTGAGACTAGTAAGTAATGATTCAAAATCAAGATGTAAACCCAGAACCTAGGCTTGTGAGGATCCAGTTCTCACTCCCCTCTAGATTGTCTCCATTTTGAAGTTTCTACTGACAGCACTGTGGAGTGTCCTAGGGTGGCCCAGTGTGCTAGACTGAAAACTGAACATCTGGACAGCTAATCCTCATGAATTCGTTCATCATTCTGAGTTATCTTGCTTATAATAACTCAATAGAGAAGTTTCTCTAGCAACGTGAAACCAAATTCAAGAAATTTCATAAGCTGTTAAGGGCTACTTAAATGACAATGAAATCAATTCTACCCATAAAATCCCAAAATAATAGAAATAAGTCTCCCGTTCGTGTCTATAGGACCTGGTTTTTATATTACAGACAATTCCCACATGATCAAAGGCTGAAGTAGATACGTACTTTGATCTGGAGGGCTGAGCCTGGCAGATCCACCACTAGGGGAGCCATACACTTTCTTGCCTAGAAAAGAAGGAAGAAAACATGACTGGAAATGAAAGCTCTGGACTGGGTTAGTCTCAAATCACCTACCTCTCAGTTAATGTACATATGACCTATTTTCTCTTAACAGATACTTAAAAGCAGGAGATTTTTGTCATTAATCCCTTAGATCTTGTCCCCCATCTTCCAGGCAGTGTTCCTAAAGGTTCACTGAGTTACTCAGTAATTCCTGGACTGCCATCCATGAATAAAACCAATGGCAGCATTAGTAGGCATGTGGAGAGTATATTGAGACTTTGATGATAAACATGTGTTTGTAGATGTGGTCTCAATGGGACCTGGATAATGCTTGAATTGTCCCTTGGCCATGATATGCCTGGCTCATAGTAGATGCTCACTAAATATTTGCTGAATTGGATTTTATGTTTGCAAGATGATGATTTAAGCCATCTGTGTTAACTAACTGTTGAAAGAACTCTGCTGTGTGTATGCATATGCGTAACATACAAACACAGTTGGTTTAATTTTTCCTCTGAATCCAGTAGAAAGATCTTTGAAAAAGAACGTGGGAGAGAACTTTCATGTTTCCCAGGCATTTGTATGATTTCCCCTCCCTACCTCCCTCTCTTCCTCTCTCCCTCTCTCCCTCTCTCCCTCTCTCCCTCCCCCCCCTCTCTCTCTCCATCTAATCAAACTGTAGAAATGATGAGGTAGTATTTTAATGGAAAAGTTGTTTTCAGCATTTGGATGGAATGTAGTGTTGGACTTATGCCGAATTGACTCTTTGTGTACAATATGTTTAGTTTACAGTCAAGACAGCTTCCAGTACTTTCTTTTAGGCACAGAACCACAGATATGTATAGATTACAGAGTTGCAAAAGAAAATTCTTCTGGAAGACAGAATGCAAAAGGATGCAACTTGGTCCTGTGAAACTACAAAAAATTTGTATTACAACACGTATTTCACATGAAAGGCAGATCCTTGTGTGGCGTAGGTTGCATTTCTTAGTGCAAGTATAATTCAGACAATCCACCCTCATTCTTTTACAAATATGGAAATCTTATTTTCTGGTGGCACTCTTTTGTTTGCAGTAGGCACAGATATTTGTTGAGTGAGTTAGTTAATGGAAAACTAGTGAGCCCTCAGGGTGTTTTTAGCTCAAGGGGAAAGATGGTGGTCAGGGGTTGTGACCCAAAGGAATCCCAAGGCATAGGAGTGACCTAAAGCCAGCCAGGCAGTTAGGTCTCCAGGCAATGATGGGCCTCATCTCCACTTGCTTTGCATTTTAATGTGTGGAGCAGATGGTTGGTATAGATTGCCCTTGTTTTGCCCAAGAGCCTGGCATCATTGCAAGCTGTCACCTTGTTTAGAGAATAGAGTCTGAGCCTGTAGGTACATCACAGACTGTTTTGCAAATACATTATCTGCATTTACCTCCCACCAAGGTAAATGCAAGATCCTATGACTTAGGCAGCAGCCCATCATTTCTCCTTGGCTAAGGCCAAATCAACAGACTAGAGTGAATAATTCAGGCCAAGTCCATCTGGCTGATGATCTCTGTAACCTTTCAACCATTACACTGAATATCAATGAAGCCTAGAAGATATATGGAATGTTTAAGCAATGTACTCTATCCCTTTGCAGCAGCCCCATGTCCAGAGTGGCAGCAATTAATCTGAGCTGCTCATCACATGCCAACTCACTCTCCATCACAACCAATCAGACACTGTTCTCCAAGTATCTGTATCTCCTTACGGGGAGTATTGCTGGAAGGCCCGCTGAGGAGCAATCCTGAGCTTCCGGCAATCTGGCTGGTGCCGTTCTCTTCCACCTGGCCACGATCTTGACGACGCTTTAGGTGTGTCTCACCCTGGAGAAGACTTAGGAGGGGATCATGTCTCCTATCAGGTTGGGGCTCTGCAGCCAGGTGCCTGTTAGAGAAAGCTTGTGAGTAGCCAGGCTCTGGGGAATGGATGCTGGCTAGGGAGGGGAAATGCCATAGCCCCTCAGGTGGTGCAGAGCGGGCCTCAGGCAGAGCCAATGGGTACTGATCCATCATCACAGGGCCAGACACACTCAAGCTGCTGTTCGTGGCACCATTTGCAAGAGATGTCTCTAGATGTGGCTTTGACCATGGAGACGAGAAACGCCACTGATTCGGTGGCATGTCAATATCTGGGAAGAAAAGATTTAGAAACCATGTTAGCTCTGTGCATAGCATTTCAAAATGGAAGTGGCTTATTTTCTTCTGCCTAGTGCAAAATTATATTTTTTAAGTTGAACAAGTTTTATGTTCACCTGTGAACACACACACTTTTATGTACCTGGACATATAAGCATGTGCACATATGCATGCACTTATATGTCCAGGTACATAAAAGTACATAAATGCATGCATACGTACACACACACACACACACACACACACACACACACACACACACACACCATAAAATCCATAAACAGGCACTGCCCTCTTTCAAGCATACTTCCCTTCTGGTACTGGTTTGTGTTTGTGTATGCATTGTTTTCACAACATATATTATTATTCTAGCTGATTTGCTTTAGTAAAAATATAATAAATATCCTCCCATAGAAATGAATAGCATTGCCGGGCGCTGGTGGCTCACGCCTGTAATCCTAGCTATTCAGGAGGCTGAGATCTGAGGATCAGGGTTCAAAGCCAGCCCGGGCAGGAAAGACTGTGAGACTCCTATCTTCAATAAACCACCAGAAAACCAGAAGTGGCGCTGTAGCTCAAGTGGTAGAGCGCTGGCCTTGAGCTGAAGAGCTGAAGGACAGCACCCAGGCCCAGAGTTCAAGCCCCATGACCGACCCAAAAAAAAAAAAAAGAAATGAATAGCATTAAACACCATTTTTAAAAAGGCTATACAGTATCTTATCATAAAAATATACAATATATATCCTATTTGAACACAGCTCACTTGTTTTTATCTTTTTTTCAATTATATTAACAATATTGCAGTGAGTGTCTTTGTATACATCTTTGCTCCCTTGTTAAATTAGCTCTTTAGGAAACATTTCTATACATGTTTACTTTGTGTTTCGATACTGCTATCATTCAGCTCTTTTTTGTTTTACTGGAGTTTAAACTTGGGGTCTTGGCCTTCTCAGGCAGGCACTCTACCCCATAAGCCACACTCCCAACCCTTTGTTGCCTTTGGCATTTCTTTTGGAGTCTCACATTTGTGTTCCAGCCAACCCAAATTGTGATCCTCCTATTTACATTTTCCATGTGGCTGGGATGATAAATGCTTTACTGCACCCAGATTTTTATTGATTGAAATGGCATCTTTGGCCTTGGTTGGCCTTGAACCTCCCTATCATTGCCTCCTAAGTAGTTAGGATTACAAACATGAACCACAGGGCCCAGTTTGTTTAGGTCTCCTTTGTAATCAGTGCTTTAAATATACTAAATAGGAAGACTTTATGAAGAGTCTAGCACTCTGGTGCTGATCACAAACTTCTAGGGGGTGAAATCCTACTGTCCAGAGGAATCTGAGGCATGAAGATGCTGAGACACTGAACCAAGACAGCAAAGGAGATTAGGGCTACAAAGAACTAAGTGTCAGGTAGCTGCTTGGACCTCATCCTGGAAATGCAAAATAGTTGGGCTCAACAGGTGACTGTTCCTGCTTTCCTAGTTCCTATAGACAGGCTAATTAAAGATGGAGTCTCCTTGGGTTCCATGGACACTGTTCTAATTGTGCCTGGGATACCAGCTGAATATGAGATCTCAAATGACTAGCATAGCTCACAACATGGATGGATGTTTTCTCTATTCTCAGCACCCACTTGGGCAAAAGGGAAGGAGGAAAAGAGCTCTGCCAGATGGTGCTTAAAGCCTGGAGCTTCTCATCTATAAATGATCATGGAGGAGGGGGCTAGATGTGCAGACAAAGGACTATTGGCTGGCAAGAGAGTTTGTCTGGCTGTTGCTTGTTCCCCATCCTTCCTATGAACAGTTCTCTCAGCTCTCCTGGATGTTAAGTTCAACTGGATTTTCTAGAAGATAAAAATATCCTTCTCATCCCTTCCCAGCCTCCCCCCCCCCCCCCAATCCCAATCCTTCTCCTCCCCCCGCCCCCACCGACTTTGTAAAGCTCGTTTGGGACATGACAACTTGTACTTCTCATTGTTGCAACAGGTCCACCTGTATCCTTAAACGACTTGTTTTTCCCCATCTCCTCCACAAGTTATACTGACTGCAATGCTTGGTAAGAAATGTATGCATTATCCTGCCCATGTAATTGTAACCCCTCTGTACAGTATGTTCACAAATAAAATAAAATAAAATTTTTAAAAAAATATCTGAGAAGCCAGCATAGTATCCTTACTCACTACCATGATTTTTCATGTATAGATGATAAAAACCAAAGACACCTGAATCCATGTGGTACAGCCATTCTGCTCAGCACCTCACAATGAGCAGTGGACAATGGTAAGACTCATCTAATAAAACCAAGGGCAAGGAAATATACTAGGATGTATGCCTAGGGGTGAATGTTATTTATGGAAATTGATACCTCTGGGCTAGTAGCAATTCAGGACACTGTGTGGCACAAACAGGGTGATTAAGGCTGATTTTGTATAATCACTGTCCATGTTCCATATTGATTGAAAGTACTGCATGTCCTAAGCACAAATTAGAAACACAGTGTAGCCTCTGACAACTGGGCACTTTCCATCTAGACTGGCCCTCCAGCCCTCATACATATGACAGAGATGTTCACTGAAAGCTTGAAATACAGAAAACAGGGCTTTCTGAAACACAAGCTTTCAAAACAGCAGAGTGTTTTGAATTGTTCTACCCCCTTTCTTTCTCTCCCTCTCTCTCTCTTTCTGTTGGTTGCAGGGCCTGAACTCTGGGCCTGGGCGCTGTCCCTGAGATCTTCAACTCAAGGCAAGCACTCTACCAATTGAGCCACAGCACCACTTCTGGCTTTTTCTGCTTATGTGGTTCTGAGGAATCGAACCCAAGGCCTCGTGCATGCGAGGCAAGTGCTCTACCACTGAGCCACCTTCCCAGTGCTTGAATAGTTCTCTTAACTACTTCCTTTCCAGAATTCATGGACTGAAATCTTTAGAGGAATAGGTAGTGTGCCACCATTTAAGGCCCCATGCAATCACTGGGTACACACCAGAGTACAGTTTGACTGGGCTCTTCTAAGGACTCACACTGAATCTCAGTCCTGATTTCCCAGTATTCCAGTGATTGTGTACAACAGCCTGGGTGGGAAGACCCACTTTTTCATATGAGTTGGTGTTGGTCACTCATGGAATGAGGATCCTGAATTTGATTAGGCTACTCAGGTTCCATGGAGCAAATGTTCCAGCAACCGTGCCCATCTACCCTGTAGATAGAGGACAGCCTGCCCCAGGATGGCTTCACTACATTCTCAAACCCAAAGCATGGGAGAAATCTTCAATTCAGGATGCTGGGGGAAGATTTGAATTTTTATTTCATTTAGAATTCATTGGCTTCTCCATGTGTTCCAACCCTGGACATCTACAGCCTACCTTTCAAATTCCTAAGGCATTGGGTCCTAAAGAGCTGATGTGTTCAGGGAGTTCCCGCATCTCATTCTACTCCATAGACCTGTCTATATCTTTGTCTTTCACACACACCAGAAACACAACTATTTCTTACTTACACAATTCTGGAAGGCCAAGAAGCTTCTAGTAAACAGTTCTGCAACTAAAAAATTTGTCCCCACTGGAGAACACCATCTCTCCTCTCTGTTCATTCATGATGGGCCTGACTTTCTATTTCAGACTAGGATATATATATGAAATTAAATATCACTCTCAGAAAGACCCTCTCTGAATTTCTAGCCTAAAATTGACAATCCTGTTACTTTTTGTGACTACATCCAATTCATGTCATTCATAACAGTAGCAATCCTATAATTTCATTCATTCGTTTACCCATTTATTCATTCATTACCAGTCTTCTCCTTTCTCCATAAGCATTAAGAGGGATGAGCTCATCTCTTTTTTTTCACCATCATATCTACAAGGATTTCACTGTGCCTGGCACATAGTAGACCCTTACTAAATATTCCAATGAACGCAGGCACATACAGGCAGGCATGATGTGAGTACATGATTATCTGCAAGCACACATAGTTACAAACATATACACACATGTATACATCCACTCACACATTCACACATCTCTTCACCAAACCATTCTAGACTGAGGTTAGCAGCATGAAAAATAGTTAAGAGCACAGACTTGGAAGTCAGATAGGTTTGGCATCCAGTCTCAGTTCTCTACTTCTTAGCAGTGTGACACTCATTCATCAGGTCCCATCACACCTTTGTGCCTCTTGGGACCATTGTAATATTGGATGAGACAATCCATGCAAAGGGCTTAGCACAGTGCCTGATACACAGTTGATACTCAATAAGCAGTAACTATTGTTCTTGTTATTATTAATCATTCACTTTATAAACCTGGTTTAGGTGCCTTGATAGTTTTATAACACTCAAAATTTCCAGCTCAAGAAAAAGCAAGATAAGAACTTATGTATGAGGCCTAAGAATCATCCCTGACATCTATCACATATTACCAGAGAAGGGAGAGACAAAAAGGATTTGTACCAAAAGCTCACAGCAACAGCAAAAGCTATGGCACTCAGGGATGGTGTTGAAGATGGAGTAGACACTGTCTATAAAAGAGAATTCATGTTCACACTTATAATCCTAGCTACGCAGGAGGCTGAGAGCTGAGGATCGCAGTTCAAAGCCAGCCTGGGCAGGAGAGTCTGTGAGACGCTTATCTCCAATAAACCACCAGAAAACCAGAAGTGACACTGTGGTTCAAGTGGTAGAGCACTAGCCTTGAGCAAAAGAGCTCAAGAACAGTGCCTATAGCCTGAGTTCACCCAGGATCAACACACACACACACACACACACACCCAGTTCAGAAGTCTTTCCTGAGTCTGTGTCCATCCCCAGGGAACAAGATATAAAATGTATGTGGGAATAATTTCTAAGTACAGAATAATTTCTGTTTACTGTGTACTTAATATAGAGCAGACATGTTGCCTAGCACTCTGCATACTTGAACTCATGTGTCCTCACAGTAATCCTGATGACTTAAAGTAACATGCCTAGGGCAAATTAGGTCTAGATTCCACGTAAAAACATACCATATTTGTCTTTCTGCACTTGATTTATGTTTTGCTGATCATAATTTCCAGTTGCATCCATTTTCTTGCAATGTAATTTCATTCTTCTTTATGGCTAATAATTCACTGTGTTTACGTACCACAATTTCTTTAGCCCTCCATTGTTTGCTGGGCACCTAGGCTGATTTCACAGCTTGGCTTTTGTGAATAATGCTGTGATAAGCATGAATGTACAGTGTGTCTCTTTTATATGTTGATTTACACTCCTTCAGAGACATATGCCCAAGAGTGGTATAGCAAGATCATAAGATGGGTCTATTTTTAGTTTTTAGAGGAATTTCCATACAGATTTCTGTAGTAGTTTACTCATTTGCATTATCTCCAAAAGTGTATGAAGGTTTACTTTCCCCTGCATCCTCACCAGGATTTGTTGTTCTATTTCTTCTTTTACCTCTCTCTGTATCTTAAATACCCATTGTATTTTTGAGTGAAGTTGAAAGCAATTTTTCTGAACACACATTGAAAGCACATACACGCACACGCACACACACACACACACACACACACACATTCACACACCTTGATTCATGAAAATATAACTGGGCATGCGCCTACTTGGAACAAATTGACTATCCCTCTCTGCTGCTATGGCTTGAGGCATTGTTCATCTTTCACTTACCTCAGGAACAAAGAGGACAGTGTTTATATTTTTATGAGCTGAGTAATAAGCAACCAGATTGAATAACAGAACATGACTATCACATCAGAAGGTCTACTGGGCCAGTCTGTAACCCTCTCAAAGGTGAGTGCCATCTTATCCTCTAGCACCATGAATTTTCTTGTATAAATCATGTTGCGTTTTGAATAACAAAGTAAATGCAATGATTTCACTGTGGTGTCTTCTCACTATATGCATGTATAAATTCCTTCCTCCTACTGGAAAGGAAGGTACAGGTTGTCAGGACTGGCAAAGGCCATGACTCTTCTCACTGGAATAGAAACCTAGCCCTTGTTCACCACCTCTACTAACTATGGAAGGTAGGAAGGCAGAGAGGACGTGGAACTTCTTAAGGATGGCCATCTAAGACTTCTGGGTATTCAAGTATAAGAATCCCTTGAGCATGTTAGCAGTGTGCTCTTGGGGCAAGGTCTGGATGGGATAGGAAGAATACCAGGTAAAGATGTACTCTGGGACCATGCCCTCCCCCACAAAGAAATCAAAGCTTCTTGAAGCTTCCCCAATTACAAAATTCTGAAATCCTCAGTGTCCTTTGAGATTCAATAATTCAAAGATACTTTCAGGTTGTGTTTTCTTTCCCATAGGATAGCCAGGGTAAATTAGACATAAATCAATAAAGAATAACTTTGATTTGGGCAAAGAAGCCAGGGAGCTTGGTAGCATTTCCTAGCTACACAGGTCTCTGTGTTTGGGCTTTGCATATTTACTTGACAGAGTGCCCTTTGAATGCGAGCAAATCTTCAGTGGGGGCCCATGAATGTGGGTCTGTTCTGCTCATTTTGGCTGAGCTGTAGCCTTGGCTACCCGAAGATGGCCTTCAGGGGTTAAGAGGATGCTAACCAACAGTCAGTAATGAAAGGCACTCTATAGATTTCCACCATTTCCCAAGTTGTCCATCTGCCATATAATACCCCCCATGAGAACCTGGCTTCTTCATGGGGCCCTCCCCTGAGGCTGCAGACCTTGTGAGAAACTTGACTCCTAGCTATGATAAGAGAGGCCTTGAGGGAGACAATCTTTCCTTCAGTTGCTCAATCAGCAGGCAAATATTTGTTCTAGTCCACACCAGGCTGTGAGACAACATCTGCATAGTCTAGAGACTCATGAGATTCTTACAGGAAAAACACAACAAACAAGAAATTAAATGGAGAAAAAAAGCCATGTTTCTATTTGCTTGGGAAGGCTGACTTTGTCAAGAACAGGGCCATGCCCAAGTTTATCTTGTATAGAGGTTTCATAGTCAGAGGACATAAGAAACACTAGTGAATCTGGATACTGGTGGCTCATGTCTATAATTCTAGCTGCTCAGGCAAGTGAGATCTGAAGATTGGGGTTCAAATCCAGCCTGGACAGGAAGGTCCATGAGACTCTTATCTCCAATGAATACAAAAAATGGAGCTGTTGCTCAAATGGTAGACTACTAGCCTTGAACACAAAAGCTCAGGGACAGTGTCCAAGCCCTGAGTTCAAACATCAGGACAACCCCTTCCAAAAAATAAAAAAAGAAAGAAAAGAAACACTGCAGCATCCACACAGCTGAGCTTCATACCAGTTGGAGGCTCATGGGAGAGACCTAATGCCCTGTGATCCTGATATTTTGATATTTTGAGTGTAGGTCATCAGATTCATCCGTCATTTAGAAAAACATGTCAAGCTTCTCTCACCATCCCCATAGAGTACTTATTACTTGTAACTCAACATGTATTATGCCACTGGTTGCTGGAAAGCATCCTCCTATAGTCAGCAATGCGGTTTTCATGGCGAGGAAACTGAGGCGCAAGCAGGTTGAAGTTATATGCCCTAACTTTGTACTATTAGGAAGTAGTAGAGCTGGCCTGATGACATGCTTCTTAGTTCCAATGCCCTATGCCACACAGTGCCCCAGGTCTCCGATGATTTAGGCTATGATTTCACCATGATTTGGCCCCCCTGAGAGTCACGTTGGAGGTTAATCTCCACTGTGAGGCATTATGAGGGTAGAAATTTAATCTACTATGGTATTCAGGAGGGGAGATGGTTACAGATTAGATTAGGGTGGGTTCCCCATATTTAAATTGCTAGTGGCTTTTTGATAAGGAGAGACTGGAGGACACTCACGTACTCTCCTCCCTTGTGATGCTTTGCATAGCCTTAGGACTCTGTCCATGAGTGAGCCATCAGCAAATGTGAGCCCCTGACCTTAGACTACACCTTCAGTCAAAATATATTTGTTTTCTTTATAATGTATTTCGTCTGTGTCATCATGTCATTCACAAGAGAAAAATAGACTAAGGGACCTAAATGAGGTAAGTCATAATTCTATAATCCAAAGCATTCATTCATTCAAACATAACTTATTAAGCACCTTCCAAGAGCCTGATTATTGTGCTAGCTATTTGGAAAGCAGCCATTAACAGACTGGGTGTCTGATGCTTAAGCAGGTAGGGCGGGGTCATGAAGGAAACATAAACATATAACAGAATTGGTGTTGACAAATACTAAGAAGAGAAACAAAACAAGGTAAGGAAAAGTGGCAGGGTGGGGCCATCCGTTTTTTTATCCCATCCTCCAAACAATTCCAACTCACAGCCATTGTGGCTCCTACTGTGATTATTCAACCTACTCTGGGACATCACCTATTTGCTCCTAAGCACTCTCTCCCTCATTCTCATTTTAATAATAAGCTCCACTTCATTCCCTTCTGTGTCTGCTGCTACCATATGTCTTTCCACATGTTTACCTAACCCACAGGATCTTCCAAGAACGTCAGTTCCACTCACTTGAATGGAAAAAGAACTTCTAGGAAAGTGGTAAACTCTGCCAAGATTACCAGTCAGATACACACCAAAGCTTCATCTATACCCTAAGGACAAAACCAGGGTGGTGGCTTCTGGAAACAGATAAGCTCTGCACCTGTTGCCAAAGAATCCAGTTTCTACTTGGCACAATGCATCCCACTTGGGAGACCACAGGCCCTCCAATGGAAGGAAGGTAGTTAAAATGTGCACTCAGCAACAGCAATACAAAACTCTTAAAATGAGCCACACCCTGACTCTTTGAACACTGACAAAAGATAAAAGGCAGCCATGTCTAGTGGTGACTTCATTAGATACAGGAGGCCAATGTGTCTGGGGACCATGCATACTTTTAGGGGGGGGAGCTACAAAAATATAACTGATTTTCAAATCAGAAAGAGAAATTATTATGATAATTATACTACATGCATTAAAAATGGATCTGGTCTGGATTGCATTCATATGTATACCAATGCAAATACAAAATATAATTTTAAAAATGTGTATAATTATACATTTTTAATTTTAAAAATGCTTAGCATCATACCGTGGCCCCCACTAGCTCAATCTATATGGCTTTCCTGAAATTTGGGTATTTTGATGTACACAATCTGACATTCTTCTTTTGAGCAATAGATACCCCCGATCTTGTGAAGGATTAGGGAGGGATGTGGTAAGATGTGGTATTTGAGCGATCCCTCTACCCCTGGGGAGAGAATGATGAAAGGGGTGGCATTGATCATGATGCATGGTGCTCACAAATTGATATATTGAATTGAAACCCCTTTGTACAACTACTTAAGAATAATAATCAAAAAAATAAAGACTCTTCAAGGCCTCACTCTGCCCCCACTCTTGCTCATTAGCTCATCATCCCTGCAGAGGAGGACGAGAACAGCTGCATGATTCCTGTCTTATCTTATCGTGGAGCCTTTGGTGTTCCTACCCCCAGGCCAGTAGTGATACTGATAATGATGGTCATAGGGAATAGTCCCAGCTCTTACAGTATGCTCAGCTGCAAATCCAGTATTTAACCCAACTGAGGATACCATGAAATAGGTGAACTAATTTGATTAACCATTTTTACATTAAACTTTTAAGCAGGTGTGTCGCTTCTCACTAGGCAAAGTGACATGCATTGAGAAAATCTACATATTGCCCAGGGCATCGGAGGATCTCAAAGAATTGGTCTTACAGCAAAAGCTTCCTCCTTCCCAGCATGCTCACCATTGCTCAGGATCACATTTTCACTCTGGCTTGTGGAATGCGGTCCCCAGGGTCTCTTGATATTTCTCAGGGCTCTGGAAAAGTGCTCATCCACCACGCTGTTGATGTCCCCGTGGAAGTAGGTAAAGAGGACACACCGGGAATTCCATTCAGTCTTTATAGGCCTCTGTCTACCTCTGGGCAGCCGGACACCAGTTTTCTTTGTTTCTTCCATTGATGCCTAAGTGGTACAGGCAGGTGACAGCTGCAAGACAAAAACAAACTGTCAATAGCTCTCTTTTACCACGTGCCTTTGCTATGGTTTGGGTGAGGAACATTCTTGTGGGTCTGCAGTTTGCTTCTAGTAAGTGAAGGAGCCCAGAGTGCCACCACATTCTTTAACGCCAATACCAATTCTGTGCTGGTCTAGAGTCTGCTGAGGAGCTTATTGTTCAAGGAGCAACCTAGCAAATCTCTACACTGCACTAATACGGCCTTTGCTTGCAAATGAGGATTATGACAACTCAGCAAAGCTTTGGTAACTAGATAGGAGATGGGAAGACATTGAAGTCGTAACCCACAGTAACTTGGTTTATGTAGAAGTGACCTCCTTCTGAGTCAAGATCAGCACAGAAATATCTTAGGCACAGCTCTCTTGGAGAGCTAGATTAAGCAATCCAATGAGAGCTGAACAATTTCAATCCAATAGTAAATGTTGTTTCCCATCTTAACCATGTCCATGAAAGAGAATGAAACCAATCAGATTCTCGTAGTTCCAATGCACTGATCTGTGGAAGATGGTGTACTGCCATTACCTATACTCCATTGTAAAAACTAGTAATTCCAAACAACACCAGCCCTAAGGGATGACATATTCTGAACCAAATACAGATCTCCACAAAACAATCTTATGAAAGATTGTAAGGTTGTCAGTTCTGCTGCCTAGAATAGAAAAAGATACACAATCACTGTTTGCTGAATTGTTCTGAAGTTGGATTCCATCATTGGTGTCAGCTGCCTTATCATCTCCTAAGAGGCAGAAGCATTTGCACATAGGCCAGGAATTGGCACCAATGGGGCACTTGAAGGATACTATAGCCTTCCTTTACTAGAGAAACCACCTGACAGGGTACTTCTTTAACTTTAGCTACACAATCTGACTTGTCCTATACTCTGGCCAAAGATGTATTGGATTTACTCATTATTTTAAACACAATGAAAATTACTAGGATCTAATAGACTGCCCCCACTCTAGTCTAAAAGATCCTTTAGATCAGAAAGTGTTACTCATTTGTGTATTCCTAGCACCTTGCACAAAGTAGGTGTTTGGTAAACAATGGCTGAATGACTGAATGCCATTTCATACATGTGAAGTACAATATACTCCTGTACCAGATGAGGACGCAGAAGAGATTTTCCTCTACCATTCAACTTTGAGAGTAACACATAATCTCTCTGTGTTTTACATTACACAGAATGTGTATGATTTGAGTTGGGCACTGGTGGCTAATGCCTATACTCTTTGCTACTCAGAAGGCTGAGACATAAGAATTACAGTTTGAAGCTAGTCCGGGCAGGAAAGTCCATGAGACTCATCTCTTATTAAAAACCAAAAAGCCAGAAGTGGAGTTGTGGCTCAAACAGTAGAGTAGTAGCTTTGAACAAAAAAGCTCAGGGAGGGCTGGGAAGGTGGCTCAGTGGTAGAGTGCTTGCCTTGCATGCATGAGGCCCTGGGTTCAATTCCTCAGCACCACATAAGCAGAAAAAAAGCCAGAAGTGGCACTGGCTCAAGTGGTAGAGCGCTAGCCTTGAGTTGAGGGACAGCGCCCAGGCCCAAGAGTTCAGGCCCATGACTGGACCCCCCCCAAAAAAAAGCTCAGGGACAGCACCTAGTCCTTCAGTTCAAGCACAAAAATAAAAAAAGAGAAAGAACAAAAAACTAAAAGAAAAAGAAGAAAGAATGAAAGAAAGGAAGACAGAAAGACAGATTTGGAGTATGTAAAATCTGCTAATAAAAAAAAAACCCTACCAATCCACAGAAGAGCAATATAATGCTCAGAAGCAATACACTGAGTGAAAGAAGCCCAAAACAAAGGCAAACACAAACACATATTGTATGATTTCACTTGCATGTTATGCAAGCACATATACAGTGATAGAAATCAGAACAGCGGTTGCCTGTGGTGGTACAGATTGACTAGATGAGGCATCAATGTTCAAAATGTCTTACAACGTTTCTTTTCTTTTTTTTTTTTGAGAGTGTTTCTCCATAAATACTGAGCTTGAGTCAAATCCACAACCTCTTCCTGATTCCTAGGGTTAAGTGACCTGCATGGCCATGCTTTTCTGTATCCTGGATGTTGAGCAGAGTGATGTTTACGACACGAATGCCTATATTGGCCCAAACTCATCAAATTGCACACTTCATTGTGCATTTTGCTGTAGCTAAATTATGCCTCAACATAAAGTGTCAAGATATGTTCGGATACTTGGCATTGTAAAGATGTTATGAAGTAATAATAATTAGGGATGCACAATTTATAAAGCCACAATTTATACTATACCTGCTTTGCACCAGAAGCTATATATCTGCCTTCTCCCAATCTTTATAACCTTTGAAGAAAGTATTAGTATTCTCATTTTAGATAGATGCAAGCTAGAGCTTAGAGAAGAGCCATTTCGGTAGGTAGTGGCAAAGTGGGTACCTGAACCTAGGTTTCTCTAGCTTCAATCTCTTTCTCCTTCTTACCATCCATTCCTCCTTAACCTGATGAATGAAGTTCCCCCTCCTTTGCTTCTCTCTTTATCTCTGTCTCCATCTCTGTCTCTGTCTCTCTCCTGCCCCCCCTCTCTTTCCCCCTCCTGTCTCTCTGCTGGCCCCAGAATGCCCTTTATCAAACGTGGAGGTAAGCTTGATGTCTAATCTCTAGGGGTCCACAGGCCAAGACACTGAACCAACACTATGATTTTCTTCAGGGAATGCAGGCAGATGCTCTGTTCAATCCCTCAGGGCTTCTTGCAAGCCTCCACATTGCTGCAAGGAAGGGCGAGTTTGACCCATTGGAGGACTCACCCTCTTGTGTTCTACATTGCCAATGGCCACTGTGCTAGGCTCAGGGTTAACACAACTTCAAACCTGTATTAGTTAGACATCAGGGCCACATGCACATTCCTTGTCCTCTTGGGGACAGTTCAGAGAGATCACAGACCAAATAGTCACAGCTAGAAAAGGTTAAAAATAAACTCAGAGGTGATGTTTCCATTCATCATACTTGGGAAGCTCAGACCATGGGTAAGTGAATATCCTGAGTAAACCACACGTATGGCCTCTGCCTCTCTTTTCCTCTTGAAACACACTATAAAAGGTGTTACTTCTCTGGATCTACGTCACAAGCAATTATCTACATTGCATTTGGATACCAGTGGATGAAAATTGTATTTAAAAAATAATAAATTTCTGAGAATGGAGTTGGATGCTATGGTAACATGTCTGGGAGTCCTAGCTAATGGGAAGACTAGGACAAGGAGGATCACTTGATCCTCATGGGAGTTCCAGGCCAGCTTGTTCCTCCCCCCCCAAAAAAAAAAAATTAAATGCAATTGTGAGAATTGTCATTGGTCTTAATGCTACGAAGAACAGTCTCACAGCAGCCTTAGGAGAAATTTGAGCATCTTCATCCTCAGATGAGCTGCGTGTAAGGGGTCTCTATTCAGGAGGGAATTGGTAGAGGGTGTGGTCCAAGAGAAAGAGATGCTACAAAGCTATGTCTAAGGACATGCGAGTTCCCAAAATAGAAAGACATGAAGTGCTCCAAGTGGACCTTGAACTACCACAAAACATCCCTGAACCAGCAGTTTGGTCTCAAGTTTGCTTGGTTTCTTTCACCACAGCTTTGCAAAATTGCATCCCTGGAATAGATTGTGAAGTCAGAGGGGTGGCTGTCACCGTGATCATCTGCACCCAAAGCCCCAAAAGAACTACATTGTTTCTCACTAAGCCCAGCATGTGATGCTGTCCAATTTCTTCCCAGTAGAATATTCTTTCTTCTTCCCCTGCCAAAGTCCCCAGCTTGTCTTACCTTAATTCTGGAAAATTACCTGAGATAGAGCAAGACTCCGTAGTAGGGGAGCAGCGATGCGTTTTGATGACCAGAGCTGTCTGACTCACTTTGGAACAGCTCAGGGATCACAGAAGGAGGAGCTGGGAATTTGTACCCTCCCTTTGCTACTTTCTATCCCTTTAGCTCAGGCTGTACAAGGCGTTTCCTGCTAGCTATCTATTAAGAATGCAGAAAATGCACTCCAACAAGTCAACCTGGTTGGGCACCTGTAGGAATGAGGAAAACAAGTACCATTTTTTTATTTCTTTATTTTTGCATAAAAAGCACTTTGTCATATTGTCTTCTAAACTGGAACCTAAATATTTTGCCCCAAAGCATACACAGAGTCAGTAACATCTAAAAGATTAATTGTGGGATTTAGATCAAACTGAGGTCACATCCCATCTCAGAATTCCTTTAGGTTATCGCTAGTTTCCCCCTCTATTTCCTTGGGAAGAAGAAGAGAACCCACACTCCTCAAATTCTGAACTTATCATAGCCTTCCATGGGCCACATAGAGAGTAAAGACTCCTCTGCACCTGCAATAAAGAAGGCAACTCAGGGACCCCAAAAGGAGATTTGGAACAGGGACTTCAATCTTCATTTTAAAAAATCCTCAACAGTACCTAATAAAATGGCACCATCTATAGACTTCAAAACTTGTATCCAATTTTTGTTCTTACATTATTTAGCTTTCTTTTGCCATGACAAAATACCTAAGGAAAAAAATTCAACTTAAAAAGAGGAAATGCATTTTTAGTTCTGTTTTAGAAATTTAACTCAGTGATCACTTGAGTGTCATTACTCTGAGCCTGTGATGGGGCAAAACAACATGGCAGGACATACACGAGGGAGTGAAGCTGATTACTTCATGGCAACCAGGAAGCAGAGAGAAAGGGTCAAGGTCCAGTGCCCCATTACCCCCTTCAAAGATTCATCCCCAATGATCTAACTTCTCTCTACTAGGACCCAACTTTTGAAGTTTTTTTCACTTCCCCAGTAACACAACGGGCTGATAACTAAGATTTTCAAACATGGCTTGTGAAGGACATTTAATATTTGAACCATATGTCTTTCTATACTTGAACACTATTAATGTGATGAATATTTATAGAACACATACAATGTACCATGC